ATATTTCGAGATCAATCATTTTTAAAGTATAAATGTGCTCCTTTAACCTAACCTAACCACCACACAGTGGCTCAGCGTTAAATCTGTAAATTTATGACGCTAAAAATCGGGTTTCGATATCCATGGTAGGCACAACACAGGTAACCCATTGTGTAGCTTTGCGCTTAACAACAAACAAACCTTTAAATATTATTAAACGAAATATAAATAAATTAATTAATTTCGAAAATAAAAAGATATTTTTTTATAAAGATCTTACGAGAATTTCTGCATGTATGGTAATCAGAAATCGACGATATTACTTAAATTTAATCGTTGATATATTTAAACCATGAGACAACATTTGTGCATAAAATTTAAGTCGTCGTAGTTAATCCTACGGGAAAAAAAAAACCATATTTCTTTAAACATGATGCACGAAACTGAAAATTTTACACCTAATACACAATATGATAAACGAGCATTAGAACCCTGAAAATATTAAGCTTTAAAATGTATATTTCACATTATCTCAAAGTTACGATACACGTTGGTTCAGGGAGTATAACTATTTCAACATATTTCTAAAAAAATATTACAGAACCAGTTTCATACGTACACTAAAATATTGGGTTAGCCGTAGCTATACTTGCCTACTACTTTGAACAGCTTGGTTTCCCATGTAGGCCTATTTCATATTTGAAAACAATACGCGAGAAACTCGAATTTTAATTTTTTTAACTATAAGAACTTTACGTCTAAAGGGACTGAAATATTTCTAGATGCATAGATACAAATAATGTACTATAACCATACTGTTTTAATACTATTAGTTTAAATACTACTGATAATAACTAATATTTTAGCTAGCATAAAAAATCACCTGTGGTTTCACCATTTTTACGAAATTACCGTCTTCTTCACAAGCTTTACAGTTTTGTTCTTGAACTTTATAAAACTGCAGTCAGTGAATTCCGATGATACGTCTGTATCATGTAATTGTGATGGCAATAGTCGAATAAAATTGGAGGTATCACCCACAACATCTCTATAACATCTACGTAATTATTAATGAATTAACTACAATGCAGAGGCGTCGCTAGGTGCTGGCACACGTGGCCTGTGCCCAGATTCTATTCGACAGTGTTCTGAATCCCCAGTTTCGCTTTTTCTTTGTAGGGATTAAGGTACAAGTTTGACTTCTTCCTCCCTCTGAACTGGTATTCTGGTTGCACTTTCGAATATTAAACATTATACAAAAGAGGGCGTTGGTATCTTGAAAAATCAGAATAGAAAATACCCGCGCCTATGGGCCTGAGCCCCGTTAAGCACTTGGCGACGCCTCTACCGCAATGCAATCTTGCCTGATGTACGTATCACACAGGAAGACTGAATGCGAAGTTTGTAATACTATTGTAGCTAAAATACCTACGCTTTCTACTTAGTTAGTGATACCTAAAGAAATGCATTGCCCAAAACGTTGTATCCACAACAGTATATATATTAAAATATATTCACGATGTTAGAAAAAACACGTAGGTTCAAGAAGTGTTAATACAAATGAATAAAAACAGAACAAATGGCAACAGATCTTTAAAACAACTCCTTAGAACTCATGAATATCATTAAAACATTCTGTCAATATTCTAGATAAAGAAATTTCCCACTATTATCACCTGTACAACCCTTCGCTGGAAAAAAAGAACTATAAAAATTTACAAAGAGAACTGATACATTCCTTCTCAAAAAGAATAACAAAAATCAGCTTTCTACCAATAACACAAATTCAAAAAGCGCTTCTAACAACAATCTTTCGAACCCTCTTCGTTGTCATAAAGAAAGTATCATAGCATTAAGCAGTCTATCAGAAACTACCAAAATCCCTTTATCTCACAATGAACGGCCTAAAAAACGTTTAAAAACACTTCATCCTCTGATACGCATAAGCCTTCTCAAACTAACAAATCTGTTGAAAATAATAGTGACCTCATAAAACGTACAGGTAACGATGAACACTTCCGACATATCTCCAATATTGAAAAATCTTTCAGACATAACTCTCTCTGAAGCAGAACTCAGTAAAGATCTCAACTTCTACCCAAATAAGAGCTATGTTAATGAGCCTGAACTTCTTTCTGACCTTCATGAATTCTCTAGAAAACTAAGACTTCGCGAATTTTTTACAACAAACCCACCCTACTGAAAATCAGCATACGCCGAACTTTAAAGAAAAGTCTTTATGGATACCTCCACCAAACAGAGAACCACATTTAGAGAGTTATATTAAAACAGTAGAAAATGACATAATACAGACCTTAAAATCTTCCAAGCAATGTTATAATAATATTAACCAAAATGAAAAAAAAAGTGCTTTAAACAATCTTATATCGAACAACAATATTATAATAAAGCCAGCAGATAAGAGTGGAGCTATTGTTATTCTAAATAAGATGATTATATCACGGAAGCTAACCGGTAACTAGAGGACACTAAGTTCTACAAAAAACTCTCACATGATTCTACAACTCAGTTTATTAAGACAGTAACTGATAAGCTTAAAGAACTCCTCCAAAAGAATAAAATTAACAAAGAGACATTTCAGTATTTGATACCGAGACAATCTTTTCCTGGTAGATTTTATCTCTTACCCAAAATACACAAACCAAACAATTCTGGCCAACCCATAATTTCCAATATAAACATGGCTACTGAAAAGCTGTCCGCTTTTGTTGACCAACTCATCAAATGTATTCCCTGTACCCTCCCCGTTTACATAAAGGATACTACTCACTCTCTTAGCATCATAAAAAATATTAATACTGATGGACAATTACCACCCAACAGTCTTCTTTGCACAACAGATGTTTTTTTCCTTTACACCAATATTCCACATGATGAAGGACTACAAACTCTAAAGGCCTCACCAAACCTTTCTAACCAATCAGAATCTCAAACAGTAAC